ATTGATAGTTAATTGCAGAGATCGAGGGTAGTTTATGTGAAGTGGACATTATTATAACTCAGAGTTCATGTTACAATTGACTTATAAAGTGGATTATCACCTTCTATGAGATATCATTTGAGCACACAATGAAAGAATTATCAATCAATCTTCTCCACAAGTTGATATATAACAGTTACTTTTAATCATCTTCTCACTAAAACCGCTTCACTCTAAACATATGCAAAATTCACAATAACTCTTCCAAATTTCAGCTAAAAGCAAAACAAAAATAAAAACTTAACTAAACATTCACTATCTATATCTGATATAAATTAACTCACGTGATGTCTTAGGCTTCAATATAGTAGATATAAAAAATTTACTTTTATAGCTATATACAATATAAATAATTAAAAATAATTGTGAAATAATTCTTTGAAAACAAAATCAAAACGAACTTCTGTTATCTATATCCGATATAAACTCACTCGCAACACTTATATATTAGTAGTAATAGCAACGGGGTGGGGCGCCCCCACTCGGCCCCGTTTGACCCGAACTCAACCCCGCCCCGCCCCGCTTTAGATGCGACGGGGACAGGGACGGGGACGGGGACGGGGACGGGGACAAGGCAACTTTTTGCCCCGTTTAATTTCTTAATTTTTAATTTTTTTATATTTTCGAAGTTTCAAATTATGTTATTATTAAAGAATAAAATGCAAATTCAAAATGAATTTTTAACGGGTGAATTGTTTAGAAATAAATTTATTTTTATTTATTTTTTTCTTCATGGGCGTGGGTTCAGGGTGAGGGCCTGTCGGGTCCGGGGTGGAGCGGATTTTTTTACCATCTCTATATATTAGCGTAAGTGCGAAAATTTTACTTTTATGGCTATGTGCATACAAGTGAGTAAAAGTGAGCTTGTTACACTTTATACTATTTTGAGAAAGAGGTCCCATCAACATAGGTCAATTAATTAAGTCACACCTTTCAAAAATAAATGCAATCCGAGGCTGGATCCAATTTGATGTTGACCCGAGAGAAGCAGGCCCAGCACAAGCCCAACCTCCCATCAAAAAGCCCAATGGCAAACCTGTAATTCTAACTAATTCCAGTCCCTTTTACAAAAAATTGTAAAATCCCATATGGCGAAATTTCTCAATTTTCTAAGCGGTCAAAGCAGATTCCGCAAAAAGGTAACAAATCCGGCATTCCAATATTTCCAAGGGCAAATCCGTCATTCTGCATTCACTATAAGTACCCGACTATTCCCTTTCCAAGAACACTCCCACCATTCTTTCTCTCTCTTCTTTCTCTCTCTTAAACTTTCCACTGAGCAACTCTTCTTCGTTTCTCCACAGATGGAAAAGGGTGGAAGAACCCCAAAACGACACCGTTCGACCCCGTCGACCACCGTTTTGATATCCCTTTCTTGAAAACGTCACCGTTTTTCGAATTCTATTATTGGTGTTCCAAGAATTCAATTGCTTAACCGCCGTTGATTCTTGATCGTTCAGCTGTGCAAAACGACGCCTTTTGGTCGGTTTTGGAAGCAAAACGATTGAGAGATAAGCATGGTTGATTAATTTTTGAATTCGTTTTCAAGGGAGTGAAAAGTTGTGTATATGGGTAAAGTAGGGGTAAAGTTGGCGGTGGGATGTGCGCTAGCGGCCTGCGTGGTGGCGTCAGTGATGGTGGGGCGTAGAGTGAGGAGGAAAAGGGCGTGGAGGAGGGTGGTGAGGGTGCTGGAGGAGTTGGAGGAGGGTTGTGCTACTCAGGTGGGGCGGCTGCGCCAGGTTGTCGACGCAATGGCGGTGGAGATGCACGCCGGCCTCGTATCCGAAGGCGGTTCGAAGCTCAAGATGCTCCTCACTTTCGTCCATAACCTCCCCAGTGGGTAAAGCCCTGAACTATATATATATTCCATTGAGCGAGCGTGTGTGTACCTATATATCTTTATGCATCAATCGCATGCACCATTGCATCTGTGAGTTATTTGGTGTTAGTTTCATCAATATAGTGCACACCTCCTCGTGCGAATGTTGCTGGTGGTGATGAGGGAGTGAAATTGATTCGTTCATGAATTCGTGGATAAAAAAATTATTTTTTTTGATAACATATCTTGCTTTGTTTGATCGTTTCTTCTTCTTCTTCATTTTTTTTCTTAATTTTAATTTTTCGAAATGAGATGAACCTTTTGCATGTGTGGAGATGATATTTATGTGTTGTGGGGTTCAATTTTAGAATTGCCTTTGCTGGTCTAGCATTTGCTTTGTTGTGAAGTATATTGGATTTGTCTTTCAGTTGTTTAGCTCTGAGAACCATCCATCTCTTGGTTATCTGTTTTTGTTTTGGTTTTGGTTTTGGTTTTAAAAGCTCAATGTCAGATTTTCAATTATGATGCATAAGTATGAAATCTGTTGTCCATTTAATTTTATGGTTATTTTCTTCTTATAGGGGTACCATCAACGTGACATTGTGATTGGCATTATCATTCTGATTTGCTTTGCTGGCTCTCTTTGGTAGTGTGCTTCTCATATGCATGCTGTTCTGTGTTGGTTGTATCTCTTTGTCATTTTCTTGTAGATGGTGTGTGACTAATTCAAAGGCATTAGTTGAATCTCTTTGTTGTTTTCTCGTTTATGATGGCATGATTAATGTGAAAGCACTGGTTGAATCTCGTGTATGGTGGTGTGATTAATGCAAAAACATTACAATTGGGTCACACCACGTTAGACTAGATTCGGGATATTCTTATCCAATACTGTGTTTATGGTATATAATCTCGGGTATGTTGGTGTGATTAAAGCAACAGCGACACAATTGGGCGCGTTTGGCACACCGCATTAGACTAAAATGTGATATTCTTATCCAATTCTGCGGTTGGGGTATATAATCTCGTTTGTGGTGTGTACTTATTGCAACAACATTTCAGTTGGGCATGTTTGGGATACTGTAGTAGATCAGATACGGGATAATTCTTATTCAATGCTGCATTTGGGGTATATTGTCCTCCCGTTAAATTAATACAATGAATTATTTGTATCCTATGCTAGCTGGATAAGGTTATCTCAATGGTGGGGATGGCTTAAAGCCATTCTAAATTATAAAAACAACGAGACAATGCTTAAATGCATTTGGTTGTCTTCAAACATGGTTTGAGATATGGTATCTTGGGCAAGATACTGTATCTCCCATGCCACGTTTTTTAAAAATGAATCTCTAGAGTGGATGTCAATCGACTCAAATCATGTTATTATTTTATTTATTTAGAGATGAGTAAATCTGATTAAGTGACAACTAGTGCAATAATTTTATAGGAAAAAAAATTTAAGTACTAGAAAATATTTATTGATTCACCCTTCAATATACATAGGGCGAAGTTAGATGGTTGTGTTTGATTTCTAAATACTTGAAAGTTCTTTAACATGATTTCATACCAAATATGGTGCCAGTATACCCCAGCCTTAATATTGTCAGCCTTTATGCAATTCATCTTAATACTATCTACCCTGATACACTACGATGTGCCAAAGGTATACCCTCGTTTTGCATTCATCTTCTCAATTTTAGCCTATGATTTGTATTGAGAAAACTCTTGATGTCACGGTTGGAAACATCTGGAAATAAGATTATATTTGTTCTTTTTCCTTCAGTTATTTACTTGGTTTTTAGCGATTGTATACTTACAATTTCAAAGGTTCATTTCTCTGATGAGACACAATTCAATTTTCTTTTTATTCCTTGCGTCCTGTGGTGTTATGATGTTCCAGTCTTAATAATATTATTTTATTATTATTATTTTTTTTTACCTAAATCTGTGATCGTTCAAAATTGGTGATGAAATGGAAATTTAGGATTGTATTTCCAACCTCTGCTAAGATCGTTTATTACTCATCTAGCTTTATTAGCTAGCACTTGATGGTTCTGTTCAAAATTTAAAAAATTGTTTGGTCTTTAACAAGCTAGAATATTTTTTTAGATTTATCCTTGAATCTTATTTTCTCCAGGAATGAAAAAGGAACTTACTATGCTCTAGATCTCGGTGGTACAAATTTTCGGATTCTGCGAGTTCGGTTAGGAGACCAAAGGTCTGCTATTATTGGACATGATGTAGATAGACAACCTATTCCCCAGCATCTCATGACAGGCACTAGTGAGGTGGCCGAGTTTGTGCTTTCTTGCTTGAGTTCTTGACGTTAACTTGTAAAGATTTTAATATTAAGACTTCAAATACTGACATTTTCCTTTTCATTTTATTCTCTCTTGCACAGGAGCTCTTTGATTTTATAGCATCATCACTGAAGGATTTTGTTGAAAGGGAGGAAAGTGTTTCAGAACCTTCACAAAATGAAAGAAGGGAACTTGGCTTTACTTTCTCATTTCCAGTGAAACAAACTTCTTCTTCGTCAGGCATTCTGATTAAATGGACCAAAGGGTTTGTCATTGAAGACATGGTTAGTTGTATTATAACTCTATTTTATTTTGGTGCTTAATAAATCAATCTCAATGCTGTGACAGAAATAAATCTTTTCTGGGGAAAACATTTTCCTTCATACTCACTTATCTGAAAAAATGCACCAGAAATTAATTTAGCTCTGATGGATGTCTTGTTCCACTGAAATAACGTATATCCTCTTTTCTTTTATTCCTTACTTATGTGAGACTATATTTTGACATACATGTGAGTTCACATTTGTTGATGATTTTTATTTTTTTCAATGAATCGTTAAGTGTTACCATGTTATGAAATATCAGAAAATTGCTGTATTTTCCGTAGTAAATCCAGAATCAGTCATCCATCCAACAAAATGATCACTTCTGTGGAGACCTGCTGAAGGAGAACTTATGTAGCATGATGTATTCTATTTCCAGGTTGGAAGAGATGTTTCCGAGTGTCTCCAGCAAGCAATATCTAGAAAAGGCCTGGATATGCGGGTTAATGTACTTGTAAGCATACTGTTCCTATATAATAATGCTTTGTTTGCTGTTATGCTGAGAAATGAATATATTCTGGTCTTATGTCTTGGAAAAGAGCTATGTAAGTCTTTGTGTGCTGTCCTAACCTCGTTTCTATATTATAAAATAAATAGATGGTAGTTGACCATTGAATTCGATTTTGACCATTATTTTCATGTCTGCAACAGTGTGCCTCTTCTGTGGCCAATAACAAATCATGAATAATAAGTTCATTGTATCTTAATGATTCTTGCGATAGTTGGACCTCATCATCTATGCTCAGAACTTTTTGTTCATCAGATGGCAATTATGCTGTTCCAAAGTACTGATTTGAAAATTTATTTTCACATTGATTGATTGCTATGATCTGAACTTAATACCAGCAAGTTTATGTCCATCTAATCTGTTGGAAGAAAAGGTGCAACTTTTAGCCCACCTGACATCCCATTGGAGAATCCGTCATGCAAGCTATCTTCTTCTTTTTGATGATTGCTTTCTTCAAATGCCAAAATTTGTTCAAATCTTTTACGTTTACCTATGTTGTACGGTAGTAGGCATTTGTATTCTTAAAATTTAACAATATTTTTCTTGCAAGCAGATAAACGATACTGTGGGAACCTTGGCTCTTGGTCATTATCATGATGAAGACACAGTAGCTGCTGTGATTATTGGGACAGGCACCAATGCCTGTTATTTGGAGCGAGCAGATGCAATTATTAAGTGTCAAGGTCTTCTTACAACACTGGGAGACATGGTATCCTTGAGTTTTGGTTAATGTATTATTTTTGGTTATATGTTGTACATTTGCTTATGATTTCTATTTGTTTTACTGTGTTTTATTATAATATATTGTCACTAGGTAGTCAACATGGAATGGGGAAATTTTTGGTCATCTCATTTACCCCGAACATCATATGATATTGACTTGGATGCTGATAGCCCAAATCCAAATGATCAGGTGATGTTTGGCCTCTACTGCATCTCTTCAAATACAACAATGTCTTAGTTTCACATTTGGCTCAATGAATTGGTTCGTGACATTGACGAGAGGACCATGCTGCAGGGTTTTGAAAAAATGATATCAGGGATGTATCTGGGTGACATTGTGCGTAGAGTAATTCTTCGGATGTCAGAGGAGCTGGATGTTTTTGGACCAGTATCTTCTAAATTGCAAGTCCCTTTCATCTTGAGGTCGTTTTCTTGTTGATATTCTTTTTATATCTCTGTCTTAATCAGCGTGTGGAGATGAATGTATAGACTCACTGAAGATATTGTTGATGAACGCTCTACCAGTTCATGTTAATTTATAACTGGAAGGAAAGCCACTAAAGATTTTTCTAGATGTACCATCTTCTAGAATATCTAAATATAGGATATAGGATTCACCATTTTGGCAATTATATGATTTAGAATAGACACTTTTGAGTTTGAGCTTAGCTTTTCAAAGGTGTTCTTATTATGATTTTTAGGTAAATCACTTGAACGTGTTCCCTTGTGACATATATTGAGTGATGATCGTCATGAACAAGAGCTTTATAAAAGTAGGTATGGAGTTCGTATAATGTTGTCTTATTTATGTTAAGCCATGCAAGATAATTGCAAAGAATATGATGCAAGTGGTAATTTGTCCAAATCAGCTTCGTGTACTACTTAAGATTACGTTATAAAGAGCAAGTATCTTGCTTACATTGGTAAAGAAAAAGGTAAATGAAAATCACGTGGGAAAATGTACTACTTAAAGAGTATGTTATAAAGAGCAAGTATCTTGCTTACATCGGTGAAGAAAAAGGTAAATGAAAATCACTTGGGAAATTACACGAGCTTTTAATTTCAACTGCTTTTGTACACTGCTATTTTGTTTACCTGCTTTCTCTCTTCTCTTTATATGTTGAATTGTCGTGCCGTGTAGTTACAGTCAGTTGCCGTTCTTAGGTTGCGTTTCATTTATTAGTCAACTTTAAGTTAAGAGGTCTGTAATATACTTTTGATGATAATGTGTGCATGTTATTTGATCTTTTGTTAAAATTTTCAGGACACCTTTAATGGCTGCTATGCACGAGGATGATACCCCCGATTTGACGGAGGTGGCCAAAATTTTAAGAGACACCTTGGAGGTTGAGCTTTTCTTGCGTTTGTGTAGTTGCATTTTGAATCAGCATGTTTGGCTAGCTTAATTTGTTTTTAAACTGTTTGTTCAAGTTAAAAAGGTCATTTCAAAAGCGATTCTTCCCTTACTCTTAAAGTAACTAACTTATTTTCACTTCTGTGTTTCAAAATATTTCTTAA